TAATGTATATTTCTATTTTGTAAAGCGCTTAGATTAGGTCTGGATAAGCGTTATATAAGTAGTTCTATTATTATTATTATAGGTCTGTTAAACGCTTGTGAGGTGAGGTTTAGGCTCCTTTCCGATGGCAAAGGTTGCGCTGGGTAAAGCAAGCCAGTAAATAGGAATTCTGCAGGGGCGCTATTCTAGATCTCCAGCAATTAGTGAAGTGGTTCCTTAAAAAAAATGGCAGACTGTCCTATTTCAATCTTTTACCTTTGTGTCAGACACTCACAGTTTGGAAAACATGTGCATAATTGTTATATTCTGGACTATTTCAGTGTGTATTATACTAAGTTAATGATGTCTAATCTGACGACGAGTTTTCACGGACTCAATCAGGCAAGCGACCAGTTCACTTGCCCTCCAACTCCAATTTTATGGATATGTTAAACAGTCATGTCAGAAATGACATAAAAAAAGAACAGACAGTATCAAGCTACATTGAGTAAATATGAAATGCATAAATAATGATATTGATATAAAGGTATGAGTAAAATTTGTATTCGTGCAATCTTAAGTGATGCTGTAATATATGTGCTCATATGTTTATTTGCTCTGTTATATCTGTTATTTTTTAGTCTATTTTTGTTTTTCTTTTTTTTCTTTTACTCGCTTGTAGCTGTTTTACTTTTTATTATGTTTCTTGTTTCTTTCGTTTTTCATCTAGTTGTTTTGTTGCTAACCTCTTTCGTTCTTTTTTTTTTCATGTGTTCCTTATTAATCAAAATCAGTGGCTTCGTCGTCAACTTCGTCATCGCTATCGTTGCCACCAACATCATCATCGTTGCCGTCAACATCATTAGTGTTGCCGCCGTCGCTAAAACTTCAGAAACTGGTTTGTACCCTATAATTGCCCTTGTATAGCTCATTATCAGGTCCATAATCATAGCTTTTATTTCCTTGATCTTAGGCAAATGAAACCCTTATCAAACTAAACAGGATAGATATCAGCAATAGCAGCTCTTTGCAGGTATTTCATTTCAGTCATGACTTTATATTAGCACACAAGAAACACCGTACATATACAGAGCATATAATAACGTTGTTGCATGATGCAGCAGAAAAAATCATCAACCGAATCTTTTTATAGAGGAATCTTAGCCTTGTTTATGTCAACGTTGTAAGGACATTGAAAAATGCTAAATTGATAACACAGTATGATTATAATAGTAGGAAAAGAATAGTAATGATAATAATAATAACGATAATAATAATGATAATAAAAGTAATGGTAATTATTATCATCATCATCGTTATTAGGATGCAATAAGTAAATAGTTGATTATCAGTGAGAAAATTTTCGACCGAAAACCAGTTGGACTACTTTCTAATTTTATTTTGTTTTTCATATTTTTTGTTTTAATTTCTTTGTTCATCTATTTTTTCTTCTTTTTTAATGCTCCTACCTGGAACTGAAAGTGCTTTTGGGATATATCAAACCTTCGGCAATAATATTTGCCGTTCCAATGAATAGTCCCGAATGCCTCAGCTGCAGTCAGAAAATTTCTATTTCAGCCATAATTCGTACCACGTTTGGAAATAAAGTATCGTCAACTTCAAAACTAATTTCGCTGCTCTGATCTAAAAAGCTACCCGCTCATTTTTTTTCAAAACGTTTATTATTCAGAAAATTTTCTTTTCATTTTGAGCTCCAAAACGTCTTTCTCAATCGGGATAAAACGGAAAAAACAATCTTGATAGTTTTGAAACCAACAATGACCGTCAATGGCAGCCTGAACCATCTCATTGGACTATCTAATTCTTTTTCATAAGAGCCCGCGCTAAAATGTAGCCACATTATATACACACTGCGATTTGAATACTCATGAGAGATTCGGGGTTTTCTTTTTCATCACACTAAGGAAAAGTTGTCAGCATCTTACCTCAATAGAAATGTTTTATATCATTACAGGAAGCTATATGGGTTTTTGAACACTTCATCACTGGTATCGAAAATATTACCAAATCTGTTGAGAGCCTTTCTGGTACAGAAGAGACTAAGACACTCAGAAGATCCATTTTTAGGGTGGCAGTCGCGTTTGAGGAATTTTCCCTAAATTATAGCAGGCTCCACGCGATTCGAAGAAAGTCCGTGATGGTTATCGACGGCCATAGGATGAGTGAGTCTGAATACTGTAAAAACTAATCATGTCTTTAATCATCTTTTACTTGTTTATCTACCGACTTGGTGACTTACTGATCTACCTGCCTTGATGCTGTAATGAACTATTCTACTGGCTCGTGATTATAGTCAGATCAAACAGATCAGTCTGTTTCTTCCTTTAACTTTCTTCGTTAACTGCTAATGAAGGAAGAGGATGATTATTTCCATCAACTGGAAACCTCAACAATAGTTAAACCACTTGTTGTGGAGGTCATTATTATATCATGTCATGTCATTATATGATCATCGGTCAGCGAATTGTACTTGTAAGGAGATGTAGCAAAGAAAAGCCTTGTCATCATTATAATACAGTAAAGGTATAACATGTTTTCAATCCAACGCGAAATACATTTCCTAAAAA